ACCGTAATAATGAATTTTGCTTGTATTTTATAGTGATTATTTTTTAATTTATTTTTAGTTCTGAGTAAGATTTTTTTTATTTACTGTTAATTTAATTTATTAGCCCAAAGGGGCGGTAGCTTAGAAATGCTCCGAATTTTATAAATTATTAAAATAAATATTCCACTTTAATGTTAATAAGTTAATGATGAGATAAATCAAATTAATGATTGTTTTGTAATGTTATTATAGTTCTGAAAATCACTGCCTGAAAATGGTAATTAAATTTAAAAAAAATGTTATCAGATCTTCTTTAATTTTACCTTATTTATTTTTTATAAGCATCACGTACTATCAATCTTATTTAATTTTTCGTTATTTGCACGCAAAATTAAGTTCAAACTTTTAGCCTAGAGTTTTTACCGCTTTACCAAAGTAATACAGTTTGTACAAGAATTACGCGTGAAAAAAAATGCGTGAAATGCAGTAAAAAGTGCTTTAATGAGATATATTAAATTCTGTTTGGAAAAAACTGTGGCTTTCATAATCTCACCACTATACAACGTATCACATTTAATAATTAAAAAGAGTCATGTGATACAAACGCCATAGGTTTCTGTGTTAAAGTAAACCAGATCGTCCCGACTCTTTCTTGCCGACATGTCGGTGACGCGCGCCCCGCCCACTGGGTTGGTCTATCTCTTATAAGGTCCATGCGCAGTGGCTAATCGCACCGACGGTGCGAATAGCCAAGAAGCTATTCACACCACCTACGTGCGCGCATGCGCAGAATCAGCCCAGGTACCAGCATTTTACGCCGATTTCCGTAAGGTAGGCGGTAGGCGGTAGCGAGAGCGAAGATTGTTAACCCAGCAATAGAAAGGGTTGTTAATTGTTCATCAGCAAGAGAATAATTTGAAAGTAATAATTATCGGTTACAAAGACGAAGTCAGTCTATATACATGATAATATTCAGCATATTAGATAAAATAGGGATTTAATGATGGTTCTATTTGCAAGAGAGGATGTGTAATTAGTTAAAAAATCTTTAATGTATTGACGAAAAGGCTGCAGAAATTACTTAAATTCTTTTATTTAACAGAGAAATTTTTATGCAAACTTAGACCCTAGTCTTATAGCATTGGACTGTCAGAATTATTATTCAATAAGAAAACTTAGTGATAATTACACATCTTATATATTCATCACTTTTTCAGTATCCACTCTGTTTATAGGTTAAAATGGCCATATTCAAAATCAAAGTTATTTATGAATAAAACCTTATAAAATCCTCATCTTTGTGTGTGCTAATTTTAAATCTAAAACTCTTACATTAAATTATTTGTCTTTTAAATTACATATCATTATTTATTTCAATTTAATTTATTAATGTTTTCGTACTAATATTTCAAAGTTCTTTGAAGTACCTTTTAGTGTCCTGAAAATGCCAAGTACTTCTATAAAAAAAATAAGCAGGTATACAGAATTGTATGATTCATGTATTAGTTGATTTAATCGCTTTTAAGTCATTTCATGTCTAAATTTTCTACACAGAAATCCTCTGTCTAATTTTTATTATCTTTTCTTGGACGAAAATTTTCAAAGAATGAATTAAAGTCTTGAAGGCGCAAAACACATCTTTAAGCTAAATGTATTCTAAGAAGTACAAAAAATGTAAACAAGATCCCCCCTCCCACTAATCAGTCATTTAAACTATTCCAACCATTCAGGAAAACGATAAACATTGCGAACATAAAAATCTACTCTTTTTATATATACTTTAATAAAAAGAAATGTTCTTATTTTTTTATAAGAAAAGGAACCCATTTTCCTTTCTAAACTTTTGAAAGTCGCCAACGCTTAAAAAATGATAAACTACGCCAAGGTAGTTACCCGCCTTTAAAAAAAAGTTTCTGGCACTTCGCGTACCTGGAAACCGTTACGCATCTGACAATTCAATGCGCATGCGTGGTTAATGGTGGTGCCAATAGCTTAAGCGGCTAATCGCACCACTGGTGCGAATCAGGGCTAAAGAAAAAGAAGGGCTAGGTCATCCGTTTGAGGGGGAACGATGCGACACGAACCCAGTTGGGGAGCAATGTGACGTCACTGGGTTCGTCGCCTCGTCTACTGACCAGAGCTTCACAGTGCGAAAGCTTAAATCTTACTTCTTATTTCTTTGAAAGAGGTTTCTTTGACTGAAAATTATAGCTGAGGATTTTTAAAATGAATTAGTGTTTGTACGGAAATTATTCAAAAAAAAAAAAAAAAAAAAAAAAAAAAAATGGAGCCCTGTGCCGTGCTACCTGCGGGTAATGCGTACCATAAATACCATACAAACAAACGTGATATTTCAACAATTTCCGTACAGAAACCTTCAGTAGACGAAAGAATGGCAGCATAGCAAGCATACGTTTTTCTGTTTTTATTTCATTATTATTATTTTAAGCTCAAAGGGCTATTAATTTCGTTTTTGGCATTCTGCGTTGAATCACTATAAAACGCGGTATCACTTTTCAAATTATTGCCAGCAAATGTTAGGAGCCCTGCATATTTTAAAAAGAAATTAAATAATGAAGAATTTTGCACAATGTATGTATGTTTCTCACATTGTGAATAAATGACAGTACCTAGAGACATCACATTTAAATCCTTTTGCGATATTTCTGTTTGAATTGAATTTTATGGTTTTAAAGTGCAAAGGTGTGGGGGTCCAGTATTTAATCAGTTCATCATATCAATGTTTCAGTTTTCTACTGAGCTGGCTTTACAAAAATTTTTTTGGCCTTTTTATTATAACGTTTTGATGTTTACTTATTTATCAAACATCCCTTTCTTTTGGCGCCTCCTACACATAAAATTCAATTCAACAACAGCAAAAATCTCAAAATATTTAAAAACTTTTTCTTTAAATTTCCGACAGACAGTCTCGCGCGCTGGAGATAAAAAATGGTTTTTCCCGTACAGTGTTGCCACTGCTTGGCTTGTGGATCGTTGAGCTTGTTATTTAAAAATTCATTAAAAATTTTTACAAAAATATGAAATAGATAATAAAACAAATACGATATTCAAAATTCGAGCCTCCAGGTGGCCATGTTCAGGGTGGAGGATTATGTTTATTCAAAATTTGTGGCTCTATGTATAGTGTTTTTTTTTTCACAGTTCGAGAAACATGTATATATTTATGCAGATTCTTCATTATTTAATTTCTTTAAATATAATACAGTGTGATAATGTTTTGGTGGCAACAATTTGAAACGCATACGCCGTTTTTTACAGTGATTCAACTCAAAATGGCCGTATCGAGGACTAATATCCCATTCGAGAATAACATCCTTTCGAGCCTAAAATTAATCAAGGAAATGGAAAGTTACTACGGAAATGAAAAATTTATGTTTTAACCATATATACCGAAATACAATAACTGCATTAGTGAAACAAAGCGAATTAAATTGTTTCCAAATGGCACTTCAGAAAGCATTGTAATCAAATGATTATGCGTAAAATGATTGGTAGATATCAGCAAATTTCCTTGAAAAGCCTCTCCGAAGGTTGAAGAAAATTCTTCAAAATGTATGGGAGCAATTGAAAATCATATTTCTAAACTTAAAAAAACGTCTTTCGTCCCTCAATAGAACACGATTCCGTTTATTTTGCTGATTATGAAACAGTCGTAAGAGTTTTGACACTTAAATTGGAATGCATCCCCTTGTGTCGGCAAGAAAAGTTAAACCATCAAATAGGTAAATGGAAATAAATCATGTAAACTAATTCATTTTATTGTATTAAAAATAAGATTTTATTATTTGGTTTATTATTCATAATGTGTTATGTGATTTATTTTATTGCGTTTTTGGTTATTTATGAAACTATTCAAAACAAATCATGAAATTCTGCATAGAGATAAATTAGCATTAGAATACATGCTTTTTTAAAATATAAGACTACACTTATTCATAAGAAATATAAATGTCAATTTTAAAATATTTTTATTAATTTATGAGTAATGGACACTGCATAGTAATCTTGATGATCAATAATAATGCTTTCATAATAGTCATTGTCAAGGACTTACAAAAAACCTAATTATCTCATTTCCAGTGCTAGTTGAAAGACAAAATTAAATGAAGTGAAAATTTGTTTGGATTTAATATATTATGAAATTTGTTGTTAGCATTCATTAACTTTTAATCAGATGAGTTTGTAAGGACGTATTCTGAAAATACGTTTGCATAATTTTATTTGATATTTCTATAACCCAACTTGTGATATTTTAATTTACTCAAAAAGAATTATTCGTAAATATAGAAATTTTTGTCAATGTTTTTTATCGATAAGTTACTATTCACAATACATTTAAAAAAATATTGTAGAAAAAAAATTAACCATATTTAATGTAATTCGACTTTAAATATTAGTTTAAGGCTTTTATTTTACGCGTACTAGTTTAATTAAATCGACCATAGCTACATTACTAGGTCAGCTATATATCCATACACATTGTAATTTCATTAGATAAAATCTCTTCCTCATATTATTTACGAACATTGTTTCAAAAACTTTTGGATTTCAAAGCAAATACTCATGAAACAGAAGGTGGTATAAGGCACTCTCAAAGCAGCAAGCGAACCCAACTACGTCATCATCTCTTCTTCCGGTTTCAGCGGCGAGGAGCTGATGAGCCAGCCCTTTAGCCCTGGGTAAGGCTCCTCTAAACCTATATAGGAGCCTTAGCCCTGGGTGCGAATAGCATCGGCCAGGTCCATTCAGCACGCAGGCTGACGTCATGAACAACAGCGCCACACACCAGTTATTACTTCAGTTCATTTCACAACACCTACTATCACATGGCACATACAGGAAATATTACAGACCTTTGGTAATTGAAGTAGACTTTCTACGGAAATACAGTTTTCCTTGGCTAACTAACCTCGCTATCTTCCTTGCTTACAACGACTGAGAGATTGAGGAATTTTTAACTTTTTTACAAAGATTTAGTATTTTACATCTGGCAACACAAAGTTCCAAACAGAACGACAGTCGTCAACAAGGGGTTGTGCATTTGTATTTGTTTTTTAGCTTAAGAGTTAATTTTAACCCAAAAAAAATGGATTCCTTACTTAACCTTTTAAATACATATCCAGGACGTGATAGTGTTGTTCGTACCTTAAGTTACGTATCCTTGTATCTAAGCGGGCATAGCAGTGGAATCACTTCCCGTAAGTTAAAAACGATTAGCGATGAACTGAGTTACTGTAGGTTAATTCTGCGACTCTTCGATGATTTACCAATGCTTCGATTTACCTTAACTTATGGTTTAGGAAGAGAGGTTTGTGATATTATGTACTTGTTGCGTTTGTGAACGTCTTTATATTCAGTCCATAAATTCATGCGCATTTTTTTGTAAATTTTTAAATAATATAAAAAACACAATTTAACATTTTAATCAATTATATATATTATCTTCCATTACATACAATGTCTCGCCGTCTTACAGGCAGCTTTTTGATGCCATTGTTGTAGAAAGACTCTGGTTTTGATGCAAAAAAGAAGTTGAAAGTTCATTGTGTACATCCTGTTTAGAATTTAGTTTTTTTCCCAGTAAGAAATTTTGTAAGGCACAAAATAAGTGAAAATCACTTGGGGAACTATCTGGGGAGCAAGCAGGATGTGGCAAAAGCTCCCAATTAAATTCACTAATTTTTCGCAGCATTGTTCGAGCCATATGCGGTCTAGTGTTATCATGATGAAACAACACTTTCTTGTTATTCATTAATCGTGGGCGTTTTTTGATAAATTCTGAGTTTAGCCTGCAAAATTGTTCACTGTGAACGGAAGCACATCCGCAGAGAACCCGGTAAATGTAAACATCGCCAACTTTGGCGGTAATAGTTCAAACCTGGTAACTCATCGGATATATCCCTTGTTCGAAGTATGCAACCACTCCTTTTGCGTTTATTTTGTTGAATTATCACTGTCTTTGTTCGCATTTGCAGGTTTATATTATTCTTCTCTTATTTATTATTAGTTTTTCTGAATTCTTTAACAACGAATAAATAGAAATATTTTCGTAGATAGATGCCGGTTCTCGGTTTCGGGGATGAAAGGAGGGGTGATGCTAATTTGTAAACACGGTGTTCACGTGTGTTCTTAATTATGAACAGCTCTAAGAACCATGAGGTTTCCACGTCTAAAGTAATTTGTTTTTTTCGTAGACCGCAAAAAAAAATGTGCATTTTAAATAATTAAGTAATGCTTTATTTTTATTATTGGTTATTGTCATCAAAAATTCTGAGAATAAATTATTTTTATGGCGTAAAATTTAAACAAGATAATATATTGTTAATGCTTTTCTAACAATAACCTTCAGAGGATGGCAGGGTGTGACATAAATAGATGATTAAATTGAAAAAAAAAAATTGATTATCTAGGATGACAGAATAGTTTGATGCATCTCACATGGTCATCAAAATTAGCGAACCACTGCTGCAGTAAGGAATATATTGTTTTTTCTGTGTTAAACTGGAATTTAAGACAAATTTTTTTCGTATGTCACGTTTAACCGGTTAATTTCAGTATATTAATACTAATTTTATATTTTTTTATATGAAGTTTATTTCGTTATAAATGCTCTTATGCAAATATATTCTTTCTGTGCTAACTTGAATTTAATACAATTTTCGTATATCACGTTTAACCGGTTTAGTTTTACATCTACATGCTTATTATCTGTGAATTTTACTACAATATGCTTAATACATTGTTTTTATCTGCTAACTTGAATTTACATGCACTAAAAATCACGTTTACGGCTCGGATTATCGTCGATGAACCGCGAGCTTGGCGAGTAAAAATGCAACGGCGCCAACGGGTCCTTTCCCGAAGCGCCAACGGGTTCTTTGCGGATGAAAACCCCTGTAAACTTCTGAATTAATTGTTTGATTTGGTTCTAACAGTTCAAAACGTCCTGAATGGGGTTCAATCTCAAATGCTGCTTTTTCCAACTTTTAATTTTTAAACCATTTCTGGGCAGTCCTTACACTAATAGTGTGTTCAACATGTACACTATTAATTTTTATCACTGCAAACGTGGCAGATTCACCACATGAAAATAAAAAATGTGGCACACCACGTTTGTACTGATTATCTATAGTTATCTTCTATAGCTACTAAAATGCGTTTGATATTTATGAAAGTTGGTGATGAACTGAATAATATGTTAGTCAAACAATAACAAGTTTCAATATTGTATTGTGTTAGTAAATGTGTCATAGTGAATTCTACGCATACTCTTAATGCACACGAACTTATGGACTGACCTGATATTTGTAAACTTATTTCTCTCCAGTTGCTAGTACAGGAATTCTTTCTGTTATACCAATGTTTGTAAAGTGGATGATACATTGTTTATTGTTGAAAATTTTTAACTGTACTATTAGGCACTTAAAATTAAATGTTCTGTAATGCAAAATGACGATAGACCTGTTTCAGAATCAAATCATATGTGCAACTAAATTATCGTTTTAAAATCCATTCTCTTTTCGGATATAAGTTTATTGGCATATTTGTCGTAGAACCATGCGTTTGCTAAAGTTCAATGATTGGAAAAAAAAAGTGACATAATCTACTTAATTTTGATATTTCGTGTTTGATTTCATACTGGCACGGGAAGAGGCCAATCATTGGGCATGTTTGTGACTTCCACGAAACCAAACTATGAAATATATAGGATTATCAGCCTAAAATAGTGTATTCCCTGAGAACTGCCCCTAAAAATTGTATTTAGTAATTTTGAAAATATATATACAGTCGGAAAAATTTATAAATAAATAAATTTCTTGGTGGTCTTCATAATACTTGAATGCTTATTTCACAGTGAAGTTTAATATTACTATTTATAAATAAATAAATTTCTTGGTGGTCTTCATAATACTTGAATGCTTATTTCACAGTGAAGTTTAATATTACTGTAAGATTCATTCCCAGCCATTTTAAATACAATTATAAATTCTTCCGCGCTTTACTTAATGGAGTAGTTTTTGAAAAAAAAAAAAAAAAAAAAAAAAGAAAGCCTCTTTCAAAGCTATAAAAATCTGAAAAAAAAAATAAAAAAATGAAGTATTGCTAGATACAGTTTTTTAAAAACTCATTTATAGAATTAATAGAACTCGTTAATTAATTAGAAAGGTATTTCAGTAATAATACTGATATTTATTTTATTTTTTTAATGCTAATTTTAGCTTTCTTATGCTTAATATGGTTTTCAGCTAGCCTGAACTTAATTATATCATGTTTAACAAGCTACATTTGACATACAGGTATGTAATATGTTTAATCCACTAATTTTTATCTATATTTAACATACACATGCTTAATACCACGCTATGCACCAAATATCATGTTGAAAATTCTAAATTTGACTTATGTATGTTTTGTTTTATTTCAAAATTTAACCTATTTCTAAAATCATTACCATTAGTGATCTTGATGACAAAAAATGCACTCTCGCATATGGGTTCTTTGCAGAAGTAAATCCGAATAAAGTTTGAATGTTCCAAAGAATACTTCATAGATTCTGCCGTTTTTTTACTTTCTTGTATGAAGTAAAAGAAGTATAGTAATCATGAAAAATTTTGGTTATCAGATTTCAACAGAAATATCCATTTTGACTATTTTTTTTTTTTTTTTTTGTATGATGTCTGTACGTAAGTATAGGGGAAAAAAAAAAGAATCATTATTCCCAAATGGATTTTTTTCATGACATGTGTACATAGAGAGTGATGCTTGAAAGCTAAAGCAAAGGGACAAAAGAGAATTTGATAACTTAGCTGAAGTATTTATAGCTCCGAAATTCTTTGAATTCTGGTTAGTGATTGGGCAAGAGTTTCACTATGTGAATTATTGCAAATAAGTGATGCAGAGCAAAAGAGAATTATTAAATTTAAAGTATGAATTTAAAGATTTACTAGAACTGTTGCATGTGATGTTGCAAAATATTAAATGCTTCATTGTAAGAAAAGCAAACTGAAAGAGAAAAATTAAATATTTTAAACATTTTTTATTCAAAATAGTGCATGTGAATATGCACAAGAATAGAACAAATGCAGAACTTCTGAAGGCTATCCTTCATTGTGGAAATAATAATCATTTGGGAAAAAGAAATGTATTTAATGAAACAAAATTGAGTAAAGGAGATAATTCTTTAATTTCAAGAGGTGGGAAATTCAGCGTTTTACATACTGATATCTATTTCTCTTCTTTTTCTCAATGTAAAGATATAATTTTTTTTTCTTTACTTTGTAAACAAATATTTAAATGCCTCAATGCTTCTTATGTTCCTTAAAATCTCTGTTTTGTTTACTTAAAATTTAACCTTTATTCTCCTCCGCCTCCATACTGCAAACAGATTGTTCTTTGGTTCATATGTATGTGGTATTGTGTGCCATGTTTCTTCTGCTGAATTTCCTATTTTTCTGCATGTAAAACGTTTTTGAGATTCCATGGTCTCACTCTGCTATGGTACCCATGTTTAATTTAGCTGCTACAGAAGAATACAAATGTTGTCCAAAATACTTCTGTTTTAATTAATCTAAATGCTTATACAGTTATGTTCTAATTTCGCTTGACATGACATTGTGGCATTGTAGCAACAAATAATTTTTCCCCTCATTATTACAGACTCTATACAGTTCCTCTCACTTTAAATGTTTGAAATATACAAATTTTAAAAATTGGCAAGTATGCAATTTTCAACATTTCCTAGATTATTTAAGCTGACTTTCTACACGTAGGAAATTTTATTACAGACTGACAAGCAAGCCTGCCAGATGAGCAGGCTGCAGCCAAAGCAAACGTTCTATGTACCCCTGAAAAGCAAGTGTATAAAAACAGTTGAATATGAATGAAATCAGTTCATTCTCACCAAGCAACAATCAATTCAAAAAAAAAAAAAAAAAAAAAAAAAAAAAAAAAAGGTTTGGCACAGGTTAATATGTATGATATGCAAATTAAATTAGTAATTTTGTTAATGACTGTTTTTCTTATTATACATATATGTATATTTTACCCCCTCCATATAATATATGTAAGATAAAAAATAGAAAAGCAAACTTCCAAATTTAGTTGGCTATAACCTCATTTTTTCTTTATTTAATTTTGGGACTTCCTTTCTCTATCTAAAAATAGCATCATAAGTCTGAACTGCATCATTCAAATTAATTATGTGATCTTACATAACCCTTAATACAGATATCCATTCCCGTTCCCAATCAAAATAATTGTAAACCAAAACTTTTTGACTCCCTCCCATCTTCCTTTGCATTGTTAATGTGACACATTTTCACATTCACTTCAACTTTTGTGCTGCATGGATGCTTCGTTATGCTCACTTATATTGCAATAGTATCAATAATGTAAATGTTCTGAAATAGGCACGCTTGGAGTGCCAAGTGAATTGTGGCCATAAATGTGAATTTAAATAAATAGGAAATTTAATCCAGATTGACTACTACTTCTTCAAATTGGATGGATGTTCTAAGCAACAAGTATCTACGACATCAGTATTTCGGCACATCTACATCTCAGTGTTCTTACATCAGTTTCCAAAATTGTGCTTTTATTACATTTTTTAGTCGTACAGGGTTGGATTACAAGCTACTAACCTCAATGGAACATTTATTTCTCAGTTGGACTTTTATAAAATAAAGTACAAAGTCTGAAATCCGGGCATGTTGGCACTTTGCCGATTCTGGATTTGGGATTTTTCTGTATATTAGATCACTAGTAAGATAGCATGTAGAAATTATAAAATTAAAAGGAACTACTCTTATATGTGTCTTCAAGTCGCCAAATTTCTCGCCAAACATTTTTGGTGAGAAACTCCATGGTGCCATATTACTATCTAAATTTTTTGTCTACATTTCAGACTTTAAGCATAAAATGTCTCCAAAAACGCACATGCAAAAGCCATGTTTTCAAACACACGCAGTTTTTGCACTAGCTTAAAATTGTTTTGCACTAGCAAAAACCACGTTTTAAACAAAAAATTTAAGATAAGCATCCAATAGCGTAAAAGTTTCTAACCAAAAATATTTGACAAGAATCCATGTACACAGCGATATGTTTTAACTTGAAAAAAATCTACGAATTGCACAATCTAGGCAGCGAAAGAATCTATGAACTACGTACACCTCCCTTTAATAAATTAACATAACAATAAATTTGAAAGAATACCATGTACAGAGCATTCTGTTTCAACTTTAAGAAACATCTATGAATTGCACAATCTAGGCAGCGAAAGAATCTACGAACTATGCACACCTAGCTTAATAAATTAACGTAACAACAATAAATTTCAAAGAATACAAAGTACACAGCATTCTGTTTCAACTTCTTTCAACTGTTTCAAAAAAACATCTACAAATTACACAATCTAGGCACTATGCACTAATCAACAAAATAAACTAAAATTTCAAACAATTCAAAAAACAACAATAATGATAGAAATTCATACTAAAAAAACAATGAACATAACATACTACAAAATAAAAACAAGAATAAAACAAAATGCACTTACCATCAATGAATGCTATTTCGAACAACAGAAATACCAATTTCATGTCGCCACGTAATCACTATCGTATTTATATGACAGCCAGACACACTATCCAAAAAATTCATACTATAGTTCACAAATAAATGTTCAAAACCTTCTTTTCCTAAATCCTTGTAACATTTCCAGTCATCCGAAAAAATAGTTGTACAAGGCTCAATCCACTCTTTAATACACTGCATCAGCGTTTCCTTAATTCTATCATGCGCAGCCACTAAAAATAATCTCCCAGACCCTCTTGCTACCACGTCTCTCATTGCAACATAGGATATTTCAAAACATGCATGATACGAATCAACGAGAAATTGAAACAATCCAGCAAAGGAGTATTCAACGTCAAAAGGGATGCCATACAACACGCAATCGCACCAAAAACCAGCACAGGATGCATATCGCCACATTTGGTGATCTTAGGGCGCTTATAAGAGTAAAGCCAATTAAAAATATGAAATCGTGATTTATGAAATAATGAAGTATTTATGATCTAAGGGATATCAAAATTAAAAAAAAAAAAAAAAAAAAAAAAAAAGACTTAATATTTATTTGTTTACCATTTCTTTCAATGTAAGTTGTTTAAGTTGCTTCATTTTTTTGTGCTATTACTTTTTCTATAATTCTGTAGACAGACATAATCTCTTGTTCAGCTACATTGTTGATGTCTTGTAACTGCTGTGTTGAGAATTCTGACTAACTTGTCAATCGAAATTTTTTCATTTTCAGTAACTTCTCTGTCATTTTCTTCACTATCAGTAGTGGTATTTTCTGGATCTAGAACCATACTATGAGAATCATCAACAAAACCTATTTCTAGCATATGGGAAGAAATTTTTTCCTCGTCAAAATTTTTTAACATATTTAACTTAAACCTGTAATCATTGCCAAGCGTAATGTCAACATAAAAGGCTAGCATACTCCATTATTATTCAATTACTAAAAAAAAATTGTTTAGACATTGCTTCATGAGTCATTGCTCAAGTTGTCATGTGTTGATAAACATGCGGCGATGAAAGGAAAGTATAATAAATAATGATTCCTCAGCTTGGCATCAGATCAATAATGTATCTATGTGGAATGTGAGATGTGTCCCAAGCACATACGCAGAAACAGAGTCAAATTATTGATGGTACAAATTTATGCTAAAATGATTGTTTCTTCAGTAACAAGGTATTTTATTTAGTGTCGAAGTGAAGTTAAGAATTGGGGTTCTCCAGATGTTTTATTATGCTCAGAGGAGGAATCAAATGTGCATGCGTAAAGCCTACGAGAACAGTGGTTTTAAGGTCTGGATTTTAGATCATTCCGGATAATGGACGTCTGGATTTCGGACTTTGTACTGTAGTATCTTCAAGTTCATCATTCTAAAAATTAGATATCATCAAGTATTCAAATATGATGTTCTGTCATTACGTATATATAATTATAACTACATGCACATAATATTTTCTTCATTGATATTTTCAGAATTATTATTCTCAGGTTTCATTATGCACTTAAAAAAGGGGGGGGAACCAGAAAATTGAAGGTACTTTTTGTCTGTTTGATTTTATATTGCTTTTGTTTTAGTAATGTTCTAATGCTTTGTTTCTGAACCTACAAAACATATTATGTATGTTTTATTGCTTAGTTATTATAGCTAATCACTCTTTATTTTCATGAAATATAAATCAAATTTCTGTATATTCCTTCTGTTGTAGTTAAATTTATAATATTAATCTTTCAGGAGCAAAGTTATTTTCTACGTTTATTAGGAATTTTAAAGAATGTTATAGATCAGTTCTATTACCCACTTGAACACATTGCTTGGGCGGCTGATAAACAACTAATTAAAACTAAGAGTTCTGCATTCCATGCTGTAGGAGCAGCTCTGTGGGCTGCATCTTCATACATTAATATTATAAGGTGAGACTAAATGTTATATGTTTATATTTATTTAAGAATTTTTGTTATTCAGTGTTAGTATTAGATCATATAAATATCTTTATTTTTCTCTTATTGCTACATTAAAAAAAATTAAAATTATATGAAGATTTCATGGAATATATTTAAAAGTAATTCAGTAGTAAAAATTTTACTTTTTATATATTTAAAAGTAATTCAGTACTAATCAATTTCTGCTAGAAAAATCTTATATTGAAGCACTGATTTTTATGCTAGTAGTTTTTACATGCTTTTAAATGTTTTACATGCTTTTAAATGCCTTGTATATATGCGTATATATAATGCTAAAAGTGCAAAATAAAGTGTGTAGTTTTTTTCTTTTTTGGCAGAATAATAGAAATGGTTATAATTAACTCTAATTGTTATATAAAATGTAATTTTTACTAGCAAAAATATTTTTTATTCTCATTTATTATGAGAGTGTTTTGCTGTACAAATTCTATGAATTCTTTTTTTACGTATAGCGCAGATTAAATTGAATCGTTTAATTCCGTTACCATTTTTTTCACTGCATACCTCACACTATCATAAATTTCACAGAGGCAATTTTTCTGAAGAGTGCTTTTTACTTAACCTCTTAGGCATGGCTGAAATTTGTGTGGGGTTGTTTCTTTGTATGGCAAACTTTCATAAGAATTACATGTAAATGATACAGCATTACATTGTATGAAAAGCAACAATTCATACCTGACACTGGCATATCAAAAAGAAAACTAGATATTTTGTCCTTATACTGTTAACAACAATGTTACAACACATTGTAAAGACAAAAAAAGTGTGAAATACAACACATGAAAACACTCATACAATTCAAATGGTGACCCACTAGAATGAGCCACTATAGTAGTGAATCATGCCTTCCTATCTTATTAAAATCCACAACTGAATGATATTAATAAGAACTGTGGTTAGAGGAGACCTTGTGTTATCACAAAGTTGTTGTTTCATTTATCGCCAAATTGTTGTTTCGTTTATCACCAAGTTATTGTTTCATTTATGGTAACCTGAACCTGAGTAGTTGAATGTTCTGTAAATATACGTTTACCTAGAATTGGTTGCTCTTTTGACTTTTTAAGTGAAAATATATTGATGTGTACATGGACAAAGTCAAGGGAGTGCGTAATGTCAAGTTTGTGCAATTCTCTGATGTTTTTTTGAGTGAACATAGGTCGACATTTACATGGATAAAGTCAAGGTAGTGCGTAATGTCTAGTTTGTGCAATTCTGTGATTTTTTTTTCTTAAAGTGAAAATAGGTCAATGTGTATATGGATACTGACTTTGTGCAATTCTTATTATTTTGTAGCCAAAAAATTTTCCAGAAAATTGCCGCTACACAAAACCAAAATAACAAGTCAATGAATTGCACAAACTTGGTATCCATGTACTGCCAAAAATTGCCAATTTTCACCTAGGGGTATCCGTAAATATACTTTTACCAAAACTGCAACTGATGTGGATACAACTGCTGCCAATTAATGCGAAAATTATAGTTACAAATAGCAGCATATTTTTAGCATAACAAGGCAAGCATGATAGCATTACTCAAAAGGTTAAGATAGATTTCTTTTATATGCGTGTAAGAATACTGAAAATAGGATGAAGTGTCTTGCTTTAGGATCTTTGTCCTGCTTTATGTTTAAATAAGATTAAAATATGAAAATATGTCAAAATTTTTATTATACAATGTACTATTTTATCCTTTTAACTGAGATAATTATCAAAAATTCTTCACACATCACTGTTTATATGGTATTAACATAGCTGCCAACTCTTCTGGTGTCCCAGTTAGATCACCGAATCTCTTGTCTTTTTAACCTCCACTAAGCAAAACTCCCAAGGAAAAAGGTTACTCAGCAGTTAAATGAGATTTATTGAAATAATGAAACCTAAATAGTACACTTTCTATCTCACCCTCCTATAATCAGTATATAGTCAGCATAACTTATGCAGAAAAGTTTCAGCGTATGGTCGAACGTCAGAGGATACCGCAGTATGGAGGATATTTTTTACTCTTATTTTTGTGAATTTATGTGGTAATGCCAAAATACAGATTCTAGTTCAGATAATTTTAGAAAGTTTTTGGATCCTGTTAAGGAATTTGTTTGACTGATTAAATTATATTTGATCTGAATTATCTTAATCTGTTGTAAACGTGTGTAGAACTTTTTATGAAGATTTAAACAATGTTTAATTGGCTAATATTTACATTTAATTTTGTTTAATATCAATAATACATTACTAAATTTATCTCCGCAATAGTATGTAAATTAATTAATTTTATTTTCATTGTATTTGAAGGAACTTTAATAAATTAAAGTTTTTCTTCCATACTCAGTATCAAAATATAAGAAATTCACAATATCAAATTAGCAAAGAACATAAAATTTAGAATATCTAATTAAATATTAATGTATTTGATATCAGAATCTATACTATTAAAATATGTGTGTGTCTGTTTGTGGCATTATCTTCTCTGGAATGGTGGGAAGCTGAGTTTTGAGAGAGTTACCCCGGATTCTAAAAATTCGTGGGAAGCACTTTCAACCACTCTGATCGGTATATGACTTTAATCAGCTGAGATATTAATTAAAAACTGAAAATGCTAATTTTCACCTTAATTTTTCTGAGTGACAACAGTCTTGTGTGCTGGACATATAAATGGGTTAGAGTAGATTTAAGGGTACCCCTTGAATTATTGCTAAGTTGCTGTTTCATTTATGGCCAAGTTGTTATTTCATTTATGGTAACCTGAGTTGTTGAATGTTATGGAAACCCTATTATGGCATAATTGGTTGCGTGATTGCAGTCAATTTGAATGATGGGAAAAGATTTGGAAAGTGTGTATCGGATTTTAGATAAGAATGTGGTAAGATTAATTTGAAGTTTCTGTACGATTTGGGAGGAAATGGAGAAAATGATTAATTGACTGGTGTGTAAATGAAGGTTTACTTAGTAGCCGTTATTAAGTGTCCTCTTTGTAAGAAGGAAATGCATATGGTCGAACGTCGTAGTATATCAGGACTATGGAAGATATTTTTTACTCTTATTTTTTTGAACGTATGTGATGATGCCAGTATACAGATTCTAGTTTAGATAATTTTAGAAAGTTTTTGGATCCTGTTAAGGAATTTTGTTTGACTGAAGGCAGGAACGTTTCTAAATAATATATATTATTTAGTGGATATTTCCTTTGCGTAGTGCTAAGATTAATTCCCCTTTTTATGTTATTTCATTGTTTGGTTTAAAATGTAGTTTATTGAGATTATATATTTTTTGTTGGCTGCTCCTTTGACTTTTTAAGTGAAAATAGATCAATGTGTATATGGACAAAGTCAAGAGAGTGCGCAGTGCCTAGTTTGTGCAATTCTCTGATTTATTTTTATGTAAAAATAGGTCAATGTGCACATGGATACCGAGTTTGTGCAATAATTCCTTTTGTTATTTTGGCTCAAAAATAGCCGTTACACAAAGCCAAAATAACAAGTCAAAGAATTGCAAACTCGGTGTCCATGTACCGCCAAAAAACCACCAATTATTGCCAAGGAGCACCCGTAAATATATTTTTACCAAAATACTTTATTTTGAAAAGTGTTGCCACTGCTCTCTTTCAAATCATAGAGTTTGTTATTAAAACAATTGTAAGTTTTTCAAAATATGAAATAAAATAGCATTGCCAAACATTAAATGTATTATTATCACATAAGGTCTTGTTCTGACATGGAAGAAACACATGATTGCATGCAACATCATTGTTTGTTGAAATTTTTTCATTAATGTGAGCCTTTTAAATAAATAACTGCTGTTGGCAACTTTTTTGTTTCAGTTTAAGATAATTGACATGGTGTGTTATTGCCACATTAATTCTTTTGTTGATATTGAGAAAAGTTGTTATATTTCATTAAATTTAAATCATGATGTTATACATATTAACCTTAAGTGTCTAAAGTTTTTGTTTTGTGGTTTGACAATAAAAAACAAATTATTTACGAATTGATTGTTGCTTGAAAAGAATGAACTGACTACATCCACATTGAAATGTTTTTATGCATTTTCTTTTCAGGTGTACATAAAACTTGTAAATTTTGCTTTGGTCACAGCTAGGAACTTTGTATACAGTACATTAAATTAATAGTTCATTTTATTTTAAGTTTCTTAGTGCATGGAACTTTTGAGTTCATTTAAAACAGTATAGCTACAAAAACCTCACAGAAACTCCTGATTTTTCAGATTTCAAGGTTGGCAGTTATGAATTTGTAATGTTTGAGAGAAGAATAAGATGGCTAAAATTTTATGCCAGCTATATCATTTTAAGTGATGGAGATTGTTCCAGCCACTCTATCAAATTTGTTCTTTCAGCATACCCATTCAAACGTGTGCATGAAAACAAACAAAGAAGTGCTTTATTAGAAAAGAGAGCAAAATTTAAGTTGTGCATATTGTTGTAATGTATCAGACTGAAAAACAGGAAAGATATAGATGGATGATTACATGACATAATATAAGCAGATTGGCTAGCTGTAGTTCGTCTACTGAGTGGATAATGATATAAAGTTTTAATAAACACATTTCTTTGGAGAGAGGAAGGGTTTTTTTATATTTAAATTGCATTATGTGTAATCAGAGTAATGTTTAGCAACAGTGTGAGAAAATTTTGATGTTCATATTGTTTTTTTATTTTTAAATGTTTTCTGGTGTATTTATTTTTGCATAGCATTCTTAATATTTTATTTTTTTAAAAATAATTAATGTTAAGTGTTATTGTATTTATTTATATAATTCTTCCCCATAGCTATTTTATTACTTATTTACTTGCATAATTTTATTTCCTCCTTGAATTCAGAAAATAGACATAAATGATTAGTTTTAGGGAAAGTTTGTATAAAACACTACAGAGGCTGAGAAACTGGGTTGTACCGTAATTCTGCCAATGACTGCTGATGGAAATTTTTTTTTTTTTCC